ACCCACAGAAGAGGAAGATCAATTGTATGGCACTTTGGACTACAGGTAGGAATGTCCACTACGTGTGTTCTCTGCCTACAATCTGAAATGGTAAAGTCCGGACATGTGTTATTGACAGGCTTGGCCTCATTGGCATGTCCGAGTATCCCCTAGCACTTTGGCTCCTAGAATTTCTGTTCTATATGGGAATGGAATGGAACGCAAAGAGTATAAGGCACATGGGCAATGTGCAACTGCTAGTCTCCTGTAACACATACATCAGGACAGACAATTGGCATTAGAAAGGACTGGTGACTACATGTTCTCCCACAACACTGACTGTTTAAAATACAGTACCCTGTCTTTGTTCCCCTGCTGTGCAATATACCACACAGGCCTATGACACAACTTCCAAATTCCACAAAAAATATGATCTTGCATTTGAAGGCAGTATAGTAGAGTAAGTCCCACAGTGGCAAACTATATTCTGATTATTAGTTAAAGCAAACTTCTGCTAGGTAGATCCCTGCCAATGCAATTTTAATTTGAGAGAGAGAGTTGTTAAAGTTTAACTTTATTTTGAAAACTATTGCAAGTAGAAAGCACAAATCCCAGAGCTGAAAGACCACCAGTCCCACATCTATCTCAAAAAAACTACCACTACTAAGTGCCAGCCACAGTTCAAAGGCTTATCCAAGAAATCAGACCCCTGCAAGTAGGAATAAACACTGCAAATGGCGCCATCTGAGAAGAGAGACATCTCCTCTCCCATATTAGAGAAATGCCAATACCTTTCCTAAGACAGGCACAGGCATCTGCTCACACAGAGAAGCGTTTCCCAGCCTTGCATAATCCAGATCTTCTTGGACTGCAACTCCCAGAAACACTGGCCACCACAACTGGTGGTGAAAGCTTCTGGGAATTGCAGTCCAAGAACATCTGGGTTACCCAAGGTTGGGAACCACTGACATAGAGAGTTCTGCCTCTCATATGCAAGTTGAAACAACTGAAGTGAAATATATTGGCTTGCACTCAAGTCAAAAAGCTAATGCACACCTCTCTGGGAGTAAGGCTCACAGACATTTGTCAGATCTTTGACACACAGATATAGGGCTGCACTGCAAGATATCTTTAATCAGGTGAATGCTCAAAAAGGCAGAGTTCCATGCAATTTATAGCATGGGGGTTGGGGGGAAAGAGACGGGAAAATGCTTCAATCTTTGTAACACAGCTTTGTTATTGAAGATGAGAGTAAAGCTTAGCAGATTGGTCTTGCTTTTAGTGTTTACCAATCTACAGAATCTTATAGGCAGACTTTGTTAAAGGAGGTTACAGCTACACAGAGGATAGGAAGCTCACAAATCATTCCAACCTCAAAATAAACAAAGTAGTAATTTAACCCCATGCATAGAACCACAAATGCAATGTAGCTCTTAATATAGAACAAGACACATTATAACAAACACCATTCCCACAATTGAACTCCGGTTTAGAATCAAGTTAACTACAAAGTTGCATTTATGGTTAACATATTTATAGAACAGTTACAGACAATGAAGGGGAGAAAAGAGAGAATTTATATCCTGAAGGTTTCCTAGTTTGGGGAGTAACCATAACAAGGGAAAAAATGTTCTGGACCAAAAATCAAGATCAATATGAATTATTGGTTTTATAAAACAAAGAACATGGACCAACTCCAAACTGAATTTGCAGGGTTTCCAGTCCATGTTTTCTGAATGAGCACAAATAGTAACCGCCAGTTACAGCAGATTAACATACCTGCTTCCAACCATTAGTCAGCAAACAACCCAGAAACACATTTAAAGCCTTGACCATAGAGCTTACTTGCCACTTGCACTACAGAACTCGCATCTGTTTTAAAGTGTCAGCAAGGACAGGCTTCCTTCTTTATGTAAATGGGCAAGGACACTAAAGCGATCTCACTTTGCTGAAAATTAAATGAACCAGAACTTGGGTGACACAAATGGGAGGTTGTTACTGGGAAGAAAACTATTGGCCCCACGTGTTGGAAAGTCTTCCAGATTTTGCTGGACTATGAGTCCCATCTATCCCCCACCAGTGGCTATGCTAGCCACGGCTTAATGGGAATTCAAGACTCACACCACCTCAACGTTTTCTCCCCCAGGATTTCAGAGGAATCTGTGTCCCTGATGCCCTCAGAGTCTGCATGCCTGCTTCACTTTTCGCAAGACCGAATCAGTGGAGAGAACACCACTGTGGGTCTCATAAGCTGTTTCCTACAGCTGAAAGGGAAGGGAAAATCACAACCTGTGTCATCTTATTTGCTCTCTACAAGAGTGGCTGACAGAAACAGAGTGGAATACAGTACAGCCGTTGTATTTGGCTGCTAAGGGGCATGTTTATGATGGACAAAGAATATACAGTAAGGCACTAGGCCGTGGGGGAGAGAGAACAATCAGCTGGAAGCCATGAGATCAGCTAGAACTGACAGGTATATTCTAGCTCCTTCAGAGAAACGCTCTGCTGTGCTTCACATGCATTCACCGGGGTTAAGGAATGTTTTAACTCAGTGTTAGGACTTGGTTTAAGAGGCCTTGGGCAATTTGCTATGAAGCATATGCCAAGGAAACCCAAAACAGGCATAGCAACTATTACAGCCAGCACTGCTTTAGCTGTTATTAGGAAACTGGCATGAAATGCCAACATGACCTAAAGGAGAGATGTGGGGAGGGACAAATGGCGTTTTCTAGCCCAAGGGCAAAAATTATAGGATTAACAGGCATGTATGTATGAAAGGATCTTCAGGATGTGCTCTAAAATGGGTTCACAATCACAGTTTTTCCAAGGCCTGTTTGCACTCTCCTTTTCTCCCTTAAAACCACACTGCCTTCCAGTGTGTCAATATACCCTAATCCCCTTTCAGGCAGACTGTAATTTGCAGGATCAGCAAGCTTTAAGCATGATCTGTTTTTCAGCTCACAATGACTGCCTCCCACTGCTGCCTGCTGTTTGAGAAATGCTGCAAAAATGCATTCCATGGGTCACAGCTTTCATGGCAATGGAGGCAGAAAGCAGCCTCATTCCTGAAAATTAGGGAAATGAGTTCTAACAATCTAAAACTCCGAGACAGGTATCACCCCATAAACTACCACAGAGACAGAGTGGCCTTATCTGTTTGCCCATTCCTGAAAATTAGGGAAATGAATTCTAACAATCTAAAACAGGTATCACCCCGTAACCTATCACAGAGACAGAGTGGCCTTATCTGTTTGCACTGTATGTTTATGGAGTGTCAATCTGAAATTATCAAGGAGCTGCCTCCTGGGAGACACTACACCTCCTCCAGTAGGGGATTCCTGAGGCTTTCATCAGCTCACAACTCCGCAACTATTCTCACCCCTCAAAGAGTTTAGGAGTGCATGTTCTAAGTGTGGAGTAATCTCAAATACCAATAAATCACAAAGCATGAAAAACAAGGCTGTGTGCACTGTGGTGGAATGTCTACTATGGGAGAATGCAGCTGTGCCGCGGGCAGGACAAAGCAGCATCCCTCTGTGCCTGTGAGCACAGTTCTGCCCAAGGGGAATGGCTCAGCACAGACACAGTGCCATCAGAACACCCTGTAGTGTCCCTTGCACAGAATAATTACAGTTGTGTTTGGACACTGCCCAGTTTTCTTTTCTTTCACAGATACAAGAGTTAAATGTTCTAAACCACCTTTTGAACCATTCAGTGGGTGTTTTTCCACTTCAGCTCACGTCCAAACCACTGCTGAAAGGATCAAACAGTGCATTGGGCAAGGCACACGGATGTCTAACTTACGTCCTTGCAAAAGAGTTCTGTACACCCCAAAGGCAGTGTATGTCAAAAAGGCGTATTAGCAGAACAATCTGTACACAGAGGCCAGTTTTGTCACTTCCTTGATCAGTTCTGAAATAATTAATATATACTTAATTTCTCAGCAAGATGTGTGAACAGCGTGGGTGTGTTAACATGGGTTGCTTAATTTCACAGTGGGTATACTGAGAAATCAACATTCTTCTACTCCACGCTGAAGGTTTCCTAGTTTGGGGGAAAATGTTCTGGACCAAAAATCAAGATCACTACTCCATGCTGAAGGTTTCCTAATTTGGGGAGGAACCATAACAAGGGAAAAAGTGTTCTGGACCAAAAATCAAAATCAATATGAATTATTGGGGCTTTTTTTGCACAAAGCAATAGATGCAATAGATTTTGTGGTTTTTTTTTTTTACACAAAGCAATAGATGCAATAGATTTTGTGGGTTCTTGGGGCAAGACTGATGAAAGCATCTATTAAAAAAAAATAAGGATGGGAAGGGTCTGCTTTGCTGCTCAGTTCCTGACATTCAGATCGGTGCTCATGTCACTCTAAGCAACTGTGAAGATTAACCGTAACAGAGGAGCTCTTGTAGCAGTGGCAGCATCTGCTGACCTATATGCTCGTTATCCTCCATTGAAGAAGTGGAAGAGAAAGTATGAGCATCTCAGGTATTTAAAGATCGTTACACGAAGCTATGAACAAGTTCTGGCTTGGCTCACTGGCCAACTCACTCCTCCTTCCACCACTGACCCCACCCTTCCCAGTCCAATAGGAAGTGCAGATGACTCAGAAAAGGGAGAGGGGCTGGGCTCTGAGCTGGTCTTTTTCACAAGCGGGGGCATTCATGCAAAAGGAATTGCAAGGTGGAGGGAAGCGATGATTAACATTCTGAACATAGCCGTCTCATCAAAGAGTGGACAACTAGGGAAAGAAACAAACCTCACAAGAAAGAAAACATAATGATCTGCATTAAATGTGTGCATAGCATTGAACAGGATGTAAACCAAAATCAAAAGGTGCAGCGCTCAGCGCAAGCACGAAAGAGAGCTCCAGCTTCAAAGAAAACAGGTGTCCAGATGAAGGCTAAAACTTGAGGGAAAACAACATAAAAGTGTTGTGAGATGTTCAAGACTGCTAAATACATTACTGTAAAAGAAAAGAAAAGCTGTAACCCAGTGACAGGCACGCAAATACTTACCTGGCAAAAGAATTGGCTCTAACTTCTTAAGCCTCGGTTCAGGTGTTATTTTATCTTCAGCCTGAAACACAGTAGCAAAGGGAGAGATGCTCCTTTTAATCCTTAAAATAACTGGTAAAAGCTTTGCAGGGTACTACTGTGAATTTCGTTGTATGGGTATACTGTGTATATACTTACAATGACAATAAATTATTATTATTATTAAATGCTTGTTTTTAATTAAAACGGCCTGTGGACAATTAAATAGGCATATACAGATAGCTCAATAGTTTAGGTATTTGGCTGGGGAGCCAGAGGCTGGGGGGTTCGATTCTTCACTGTGCCCCCTTGACGGTCTGGACTCGATGATCCACAGAATCTTTTCCAGCTCTGCAATTCTAAGATTATAATTCTAAGTATTATTATATCAAATATTTTAGAAACCACACTGTTATTGTTGTGTGCCATTGAGTCAACATATGGCAACCCTGACAGGGTTTTCATGGTTTGTGAGACATTTATCATTGCTAGACACCCCCTCCAGAAGTCAAACACATTTGAACCTAAGTCTCCCGAGTCCTTTTCAAACATACTATCCATTGCACCAAACCAGTTTTCCCCCAAACTATAAAAATTCTGTGGTTCCAATGAACAGTCTGGTTCCCAATGTGGTGTAATGGATAGACTGGTGGACTAAGACTCTGGAGCACAAGGTTCAAACCCCCACTTGACCACGGAAACTCACCGGGGGAGTGAGTAGAACCACTCTTTAAATATCTCACTTACTTGAAAGTCTTGTTAGGGTCGCTATAAGTCAGTTCTGACTTGACGGCACAGAACACACATACAATGAAGGGTTTGCACAATATCACCTACTCTAGTGGCAAACACCAGTTGTCCATCTTAGAGCACGGAGGCAAATTTTTATTTATTTATAGCATCCATACCCACCCCTTCAGTAAAAGACAGCATTCAAGACAGCTTACAAACTTTTTAGAATGTAATTATTACAATATTATCATTAGATAGCCTTTGTACAGGAATATTTCTAGCCTGTGGCTGCAGAAAAAACCTCTAAAAAGCTCACCCAACAACAGTACATTTATTCATCAGAGGCGTGGTTCAAAACATCTTATGTATGCTTTTTTTTAAAAAGTAATCACATGGACATGCCCGTAACTCTTGCTGTCCCTTATTAAAATTTTTTTTTAAGTAATCACATGGACATGCCCGTAACTCTTGCTGTCCCTTATTAAAATTATGGTACAGAGTTGGTTGTCTGTGGCAGACATGTTCCATGCACTGATATGTGTGTGTGTAAGACTGACCAGGTGTTACAAAGAACAGCCACATTCAGATAACACAGCAAGTCTGAACTTTATCTTATTGACAATCAGCAGCACCAACCCAGTGCCTCTGCTTGTAAGAAAAAAAAGTGTTAAAACTGACAGACAAGGGTGCCCTGAGAGTCAGCTCTTTGTTTGGCTTCCCTCTTGACAAACAAGATAAAAGCTACAGATTAATCCCCTGGCTGACAGATTTGGGGAAAGACAAACCAAAGAACCAGCTCCCTGGCTGCTTCCTACCTTACAGCAAGAAAGCCATAGACACAAGACCCATGGCTTGTTTAGCCATGCCCATCACAACACTTAGTGTGCCTCAATACTATGTCCAAACAGGACCACAGCCTTACTACTCTTTTGATGCATGCAAAATATACAGTACATAGTGGTATACTATATATCACATTTTTGGACGTGGTGGCTCTGAGGGCTAAACCACAGAAGCCTTTGTGTGCTGCAGGGTTAGAAGACCAGCAGTCGTAAGATCGAATCCACACGACGGAGTGAGCGCCCCTCGCTTGTCCCAGCTCCCGCCAACCTAGTGGTTCACAAGCATGCAAATGCAAGTAGATAAATAGGGACCACCTCAGTGGGAAGGTAACAGCATTCCGTGTCTAAGTCACACTGGCCATGTGACCACGGAAGATTGTCTTCGGACAAAACGCTGGCTCTATGGCTTGGAAACAGGGATGAGCACCGCCCCCCAGAGTCGAACACAACTGGACAAAAAAAAAAAAATTGTCAAGGGGAACCTTTACCTTTACCTATGCGAGGCATACTTCTGTTGTGTTCCATATTGCATTATTTATTTAATGCTGCTCTTTGACCATGTAAGAGTGAGTGAGAGTGAGAGAGAGAGAGAACAAACATATATATGTATACTGGTAGATGACAGTAAAATATGCAAGAAATATTCAAGAAATTATATCTTTGCAGTGTGCTTGGCAAGGTCTCATCAGCAACAGTATCTCTGCTTCAAATAAATGCACCAAGGCAAATCAGTGATCAGCGTAAAGCAGATCATAATTTTGAAAAAACTTCTTCAGTCATTTTGAAATCACATGAGCGTTTGGGAACAACCTGGCCTTTGCTGTTTCGTATGCATGTTTAATTTGACGTTGTAACTTATATTTTCCCTCATGGTTTGTATATACAGCCGTGTCTATTACTTTTACAAAAAAGGTAACAGACATGATAAATATTTATTGAAATAAATCTTCTTTGCAAGCCTTAATGACAACCAATGAACACTAATCTGACAATCTCTTTTAAACAAGAGAAAGAAAGAACCAGAAAGAATGCTACATTTTGTTACTTTATATTTATCAGTGTTGTCAAATGACACAACTACAGTATGCAGAAACAGAGAGAGTGTTGTTTTACGTCAGGGACTGGAACATCTCCCTGCATGATTGTCTCTGATCAAGGAGTGAATAATCTGCCAGAAGCCCCCCTTCTTTCTTGCAGTTTCTAGGAAGAACTCCTTTGGTGGGCCCTCCATTAGACACTCTTGTCAGAGTAACATGGTGTCATCACAGGATGCAAAATTAGACATAACTGCCTAGAAAAATTGCCATCACCTCAGGAAGGACAGCTTCAGGAGAAGGAGTGATGGCTGCACAGAACCTTCCCATCCAGGTGGCTGACAAGCAACAGTAAGGGAAGATACGGGAGGTCAGGCAGTGGTAAGAAAGCAGAGGCGGCTGTGTAGATGGTCTCCTCCACTTCTCCAGTCCTTGGGACCTCGGGCCACCCAACGAAGCCAACAGGACATGTTAAAGGGAACACTTGTATACACGCTTGAATTATGTAAATTATGTAAGAGGGCATGATGGCTGCCAACTTGGACATATCAACAAGGGAGGGAGCCAGTGGCTATTCATGATGTCTATGCATTCTCTCTAGTGTCAAAGACAGCAAGCCTTTATAAAATCAGCTACTGAGAACACGATGAGGAGTTCTGGAGCCCTGGAGGGCTTCCCACAGCCCCCTATGAAGAGGATGCTGCACTAGGCAGGCCCCTGGTCTGATCCAGCGAGGTTCTCACCTGCCTTGTGGGCTTCTTAGAGGTCTGCCTCTGGCAGGGTCCTATGGCAAAACTGGATGCTAGGCTAACTAGGCCTCTGTGACCAGCAGGGATCTTTTTTACTAGATAATTCAGGTGGGGCTCACTGCTCAGCACCTGCCTATGTGATAGAAACAATGGAGGTGATGTGGCCTTTCTGAGCTGAAAGCTTTGCTCGTCCCCAATTTTGTCTAAGGGTGGGAACCACTGCTTTAGACTATTAAAAATATTTAGCAAGCAAGTACTAACAGGCAGATGTATCAACTTTTTAAAATATTCAGGTTGGTCCATGCATGTTTGGATAAAAGAATACCCACCCTTTTTAAAAAATCAGTTCCTGCCCCACATTTTCAAATTATTCACACTGCAAAGCCCACAAATTCTCTGTGTGTGTGTCACAGCAGAGTGAAAGCATACCTGATATCCATATAACATTAGTGTCAAATAGCTTTATTGTTGTCATGAAAAGCTCACCTTTCAATTTAAGGAGGGAACAGTTTTGCGTGGCCAGCATCTGCCTATCTTAAAAGGATTTGTGTATTTGAACAGCGGTTTATATTGCCAGAAAGTGGCGGATAAGTCTCTGATAACAAAATCCCAATCAAGCTGCATTTCAACCTTCCAAACGAGATAGACTTTTTTTTAAAACACTGACTCATTTGTTTGGGCACCCTTTTTATCAATTAATTCCCACAGAGTTTTGAAAGGCCAGGGTTCTTTTACAGGTGCTGTTTCTTCCTTGCTCAAGAGCCTCACAAACCAACCCCCCTTTTTTTTCTTTTTCTCTTTTAATTTTACAAACCACAGGGCTGTGGAGCAGAGCTTCTCCTCTGCAGGCAAGTTTCCACCTGTCCCTTTAACCAGTTTACTTCATCCGGGATAAACCCAGTGCCCCAGTCCCCGAATCCAGCAATTCCAGAGGGAAGGAGAGATAAATGGAAGGCTCATCCATCGGAAAGTGCAGGAAGTGCCCTGGATGGGAAATCCATGCGATTCTACGAAAACATTTACTCACTTACTTATTTTTACTTTGCCTTCCTCCTTAAAAGGACGCAAGGTGGATTATAATATCATTAAAAAGACAGGTATTTATGAGCCCAGAAAGGATGGGGGGCAAGGTAGGTGTTTCTTTTGCAGGTCTCCTCAGAAGGCAAACCTTGCTCCCTGAGGAGGATGCAAGGACACCTCTCTGGATTTACACGGAAGGAAGGCTAAGCAGGTTTAAGGAGCGGGGCCTTGCCCCCTTTTTCTGGACTACAACTCCCACAACGCTGCCTCCTTTTTTGGGGGGGAGACTACAACTCCCAGAATTCTGGGACTTTCAGTCCACAACAACAACAACAAATAAAGCAGCGTTTTCTCCCAACTCTACTCAGCTGCCCTGGCGGGTTGGCCAAGGGGGGCTTCCTCCCGAGTAACGGTGCCCGAGGGGCGGCACCAACTCCCCTTCCTCGCCACCGCCCCAGGGAAAAGCGAAGCCATGGACTCCTATGGGCTTCCTCCCGAGTAAACGCGCGAGGGCAGGCAGGCAGGTACCTCCCGTGCCTGAGGGCGGCAGCTCTGCCTTTCTTCCCTCCCCTCACAGCCTCTCCCAATAGGCTTCCTCGCGGGCAAGCGCCTCTGAATCCCCCCCCCTCTTCCTTACCTGAGGCAAAAGGTACGACTTGAAGGTCGCCTTGGGCGGCTTGAGGGAAAACATGACGGGGCACAAGACGGTGGTGGTGGCGGCCGGCCTCTCGCCGCTTCTCCTTCCTTCCCTTCCCTCCGGCCGCCCTTCTTTCCCTCAGAGCTCCCGGGCCGGCCTCGAGGCCCCACCTCGCGACGGGAGGGGGGAGGGGAAGGGCGCCGGGCGCAGGCTCCGCCCCCCCTCCCCGGCCGCATCACGTGCTCCCACCTCGCGGCTCCGCCCAACCGGACCGGCAGCGCCTCAGCGGGCCGGAGGAGGCGGCCCCTCGGCACGGGCAGGGCCAATGGGGAGCGCGCCCACCTGCTGCGCCCTCTCCCTTTAGACGTCACTCAGCTGGAGGCGGGAAAGAGGGCCTTACCCCTCCTCCTCCTCCGGTATCCTAGCAACGTGCGCGCGGCCAGGGTTTTTTTGAGGGGTGTGAATAGGAAGGTGGGGGAAGCGTTCGCGGACGGAAGAATGGAGGGGACAAACTTGTCCCCCTTTGACGGAGCTTCGCTTTGGAGGAAATCTCTCCTCCCCCCACGGCCCGTGCTAGGCTCGGAGACCCTCTTTCCACTCAGGTCAAGGGGAGCCGCAAAGGGTTCTGGGAGAAACGGGGAAAGCGCTCCTTTGTGTGTGGGGGGGTGCGTGGGGGGGGAGTACAGTATTTTGGGACATTTCCCGTGCAATGGGTTGGGAATTCTTTATCCCTTGAACCCTAGGCAGAGGTCTGATTTTTATTAGACGAATAAAATAGGTAGTGAAGCAAACAAACAAATAAATAAATAAATGAGCAAGCCTGCAAAGGTTCGCTTCCATGGGCGAGTATTAAGAATTAATAAGAAAAACCATAAATAAATCAGTTAATAATAGTAATAGTAATAGTAATAGTAATAGTAATAGTAATAGTAATAATAGTAATAATAGTAATAATAGTAATAGTAATAATAGTAATAAAAAATAATAATAAAAATAATAAAAATAAAAAATGCCTCAGGGATGACACACAGGATGGTGGCCATAAAGTGGGATACCAGCCTTCTACTGTAAACACAGAGTTGTGTGCATCCTTGCAACTTGAAATAAAGTCTCTGGAGTTCGATTCCCCCGGACGGAGAGCCAGCCTGGGCGGCCTTGGGCCACCTGCACCGTCCCAGGGATCTCTCCCCCCCCCAATAAGAAAGGAACTGGAAACCATTTCTGAGGATTCTCTTAATTGAAAAAAAAAACCCTGGCAAGAGGCACCATAAATCAGACTCGATGGCACAATGATGATGATGATGATGGTAAAGATGAGGATTCGATCCCCCTTCCCCAGACCTCACAAATAGCCGTGGCTCTCATCTCTTCACCAGGATGGGCGTCCTTGCGATTTCATGACTTGTTAACCTGCAGGAACGCCCATTGGACGCTGAGGTCGTAATTCATGCCCGGGTTCACAGCTACAAAAGCGACAAAGCACTGTGTTGTGTCGACAGGGAGCTGGACCAGCTTGTTAAAAACACCCACCCACCCACCAGATTAAACCTCAAATCAACCTCCCCACACCCAAAAAGTCTTGCTGAGTTTTAAAACAAACCAGTAAATGGTCCTCTGGTTTGCAGTATTCCTACCCTTCTGCCCTTTACAACAATTGTGTTTTAGGAGAGAAAAAACAGCAAAATTAATTATTCTAATATTAATTCTCTACACGAGCGTCATCTGGGCCCATCCAGATGGGCAGAGTGGTGGTGGGTGTCACATGGGGTTTGGAGTTGTGTTTCTCAGAAAGAGGCAGAAGGTGGGGCCACATAAAACTCCTGAAGGGAAGCTGTCCAAAACATTGTGCAGAATCATTACCTTTTCCCCCCAGCTACAGGTGAGTAGTGTTTTAGCCCCTGAAACATCTAACCCACCTTTGTCGTTTTCTCTTGCCTCCTCCACCATCTACTTATTTTTAAGAGGGACGCTGACCCCAGCTCAATACACCTACAGAACATTCACATATTGTTAAATACCCTGAAGAAGAAGGAAAGACGTTTTCTCTGATCAGGATGTGTTTCCCGTTCAACCTGCATCAGTTTTTTTTTCTGGCTCATTTAGGGATGGTGGACTGCCTGATGCTCAGTCCTTCCTTCACCCCATTCAATTAATCCAAGACACTTAGTAGCCGTCTGACGCATTTCCCCACTTAAGCCAGCGTATCAAGTCTTCTTCTCTCCTTCAACTTCTATTTTTTTTAAAAAAAAAGAAGTGATTTTCCATCACAGTTTTTTAAAAAAATAAATAGCAGATTTATTAATGTGCCAATATCACATACAATATTTTCTTAATATAGGTTTTTGTTTTAAATCACTATACATAATAAAGCCGTACAAACATAAGAAAAACTGTAATTTAAGAGAGTTCCGTAACATTGGATTGTTGAAATTATGGAAGAGTAATGATTTAAAAGGTGGAATATGGAAGCTGAATCAATACACTGCTTTATAATGTCATCAGAAGAAGCAGCACACAATATCTTGCAATTTGTGCACCCAAGGACTTTGCCATTCTTCAAGAGGTGCAGCTCTGTCTCCCCCAAGTTTTGGAGGAACCTGTGCTTTCTCTGTTTTTTGCTGATGTGTTGTAGGCAAACAATGCAAGGCATCTGCATTTTTTTTTAAAATACTGTAGTTCTATAAACCAGCACACAAAACCAAGTGTTAATGCCATTACATCAAACTGTTTTAGAGGCATAAACATAGAAGAGCAAAGCTACCCAGTTTCCTTCTAGGTTGTTGTTTCAGTCAAATCTTAAATTATGGGATGATGGGACCAAAAATGATGTCTCCAGCAAGCAAAGCCCTTTCGTTAAAACAGGACAGAAACAACTTAGAAAGAGAGTTGCTGGGTATTTGGTTACACTCAAATTTGATCCAGAAATGCCTCGGTCATGAGTGCCTCAATCTCTTGTTTTTACTTTTTCTCCAGGGGTGAAGCAGGGCAGTGCGCTAGGGAAGGCTGGACTTTGGTCTTCCTGCTTCAATGGTTTTCAGGAATGAAATGCCTCAGGGGGCCAGGGGCCAAAAAAGGTAGGGTCCACCTTGTGACTTCGGTGTGCAGAAAGAAGAGAGCCAAGGCAATGGAATTCACAGGGAATGGTCCCAGGATCCAGCTGTTCAAACCTTTAATTGTACTATACAGCTGGTGAATATAAAAGTAGATTTTTGCTCAGGTATCTAGGAGTTAAGCTAAACCTCTGAACGGTACTCTGTGAAAAATTAACTTCTCCATTTCTGACAGCGGAAACCCTTTCTGATTTAGCATCCTTAGCATGTGTGTTTAAAAGAAGAATTAAAAGCAAGGGCAGTAAGAAAATCACTACTGGAACAGAAGGCAGGGCACAACATTGATGCATGTGTGTGTGTGGGGGGGGGACATTCAACCTTTACGTAATTAAGAGTGGTGTATTAGACTGCTGATCTGGCAGTTGAGGGGCTAGACATCCACTGTGTTAGCAGAACAAATACACAGATACATGCTTGTCACACCGACGGAACAGCATGGCCTATGTTGTAGGCAGGCACTAGGAGTTAACTCCATTCTTAAGTCAGCCTAGCCTCCAAACTTAACCATCCATGTTTCCTCTCTAGGTAGATCCCTAAGCAAGTGTTGCCTAACACTTTCTGCTCAACATGAAGCAAAGTCTTGCTGGTCCGCCCCCCTCTGTCCCCTTCCCCAACAGACCGAGGGAATCCTGCCATTTTTATGTAATGGTTTCCACCGCTACAGAGTGGAAGGCAGGAGGTAACCATGGAACCATGATCTGTTGTGATGTCCAAACTGGGCCACTGAATACAGGAGGCTTTTCTATATAAATGAACTGCTTTATTACGTAATTTAATTTATTAAAAATAATTTATTAATTGAAACATTAACATAAACCAGGTTAGTTTGTCCACTAGTTGTCAGGACTTGTTTTGCTGACACGTGTGCCCATCAGCACAACCAGCACCTCTTTAAAGAGTGGCAGTGTGGACTAGGTAATAGTATGTTAGCATGGTTTGATGGAAATTCATGTTTGGAGAAGCGGCTTTCTGGCTGATGTGTACTCTGGCTACTCCAGCGTGCAGTACAATCATGTTGACTGTTGCTGCCCTGCCAGATGTGTGAGCAGGCCAGCGGATGTGAGAAAGAAGTGGGAAGAAGAAAGAGGAATGGCCACACTCAGTTTAAATATATCTCAAGCCCAAGCAGTGGTTAGTGGCTTGGTCTGTAATGTAGCAGCCCTTTTTCTTTTCTTGGTAAAGTCTTTTGAACCACTTCTCTTTATTTAAAAAAATCACTTCCTTCTCAGCTTCTTCTGAAATAGTTGTATGCAAATATCCTTGAGGTGCCTCTTGGATTAACTAGTCTCCCTTAAAAGTGCACTAGAGCAGCACACTAGAGATCGGCATGAACTGCCGACAGTTCATGCCGGTGCATTTATCGGCTGAACAGATGTTCCCAGCACCCCAGCCCTGCCTCCTCTAGCAGCCGCCCGCTCAGAAGCAGTGCCTGGAGGAGGCGAGGCAACCCCGCTCAGAAGCAGCGCCTGGAGGAGGCAAGGCAATGAAGCTGGGCCTCCGAGTGGCATTTTGGACTTCTGCCATTCTAGATAGTAGCAAGTTAGCAGTGTTTGATGGAGGCAGGGCTGGGAATTGGCAATGAAGCTGGGCCTCCGAGTGGCAGTTTGGACCATTCTAGATAGTAGCAAGTTAGCAGCGTTTGATGGAGGCAGGGCTGGGAATTGGCAAACACTTGTTCAGTCCATAAACGAACTGGCATGAAGCGCCAAACTTACAGTTCATGCAAATCTTTTACAGCACACAACTCACTGTAACCCAAAAATTGCAACCCCAGGAGTTCTCTGAAACAAAAAACATCTCATCGATATCTTTGTATATATTGTTATTAGCCATTTTTTCAGAAGGTCACAGTAGTTTTGCAATGCCACACATTTAAGGCAATTGGCTCGATTTGACATGATTTTGTGAAGAATACGAAGGCCTACAGGATTCATGGAAAAAGCGTTTTTAGAAAGATGCAATTAGTTTGGACAGTTTAAGACTGGGAAAGCCAGGCTGGGGATAAAAGAGGGACAACTGCACCCTTTTCTCAATAGCCTTGTTTGTAAACAGAAAAGGTCTCTTCTGGAAGGGCAATCCGGTTTGGAGGTGTCCTTGGCCCTTTCCTAGAACAATTTCCAGGCTCCGGCTTCTCACAGCTACTAGTCATTTCTTCCCCTTGCACCATTCCCACTGCTCATTTGCAAGAGCAAACACATTGGGAAAAGTTACACAGAGCGTAATTTGTACTGAGTAAGTGGCAGGTTGGGAAAAAGTTAAGCCATTTTCCTCCATCATTTCTCTGATCTTAATTGCTCCCCACCCCAGGAAATGACTTAGTCTGTTTAAAAAGGGCCACCAAGGTAATGTTGAAAGCACCTGGATGTTATGTGCCTAGTTTTGCCCAGAGACATAGGGAAAGATTCGTGATCCGATTTTTGTTCACCTTCTACTAAAGTTTCACTAAAAACATCACAGTCTTAAGATGAGGTCATTTTGCACCATTTACTAAGTAAACATGCTGGGCCGGATCTGACCCAGGCGCTGCGGGAGGCACCATTACCCAAATGCCAGGCATTCATGGAGCTGGAAGAGGTTATCTTTTTGGCCTACACTACAGCACCCAGAATCCCCTTATAAGCCTTATAAGCACAGCAACTGGAATCCCCCGCTGCTGTTTTCCAGGTGTTGTGATCCAAAAAGAGTGACTTTTGCCAGCTCTGCTTTTGCAAAAGGAAGATCTGGTGAGCGTGACCCTTTGGCGTGCGTGCTTTAAACTCCCTTCTGGGTGGTTTGATTCTACCGCGTTTTCCTGCAGCTGGAAAGGGGACGGCACGGGACAGGGTGCTGGGAGGTCAAGAGAAGTCAGCGACCCACTAGCGCTTTGCGGAAGGACGGTCCTTTCTAAGTACCCAAGGGTGAACAGAATTGTCATGACCTGCAGTTGTTTCAGATTTTAAAAGCCACTGTTATTTAGGAATGGAACCTGCCGGCAACCTGCCCCCTGGCCCACTGCGGACATCAGCATCTGATGGCCCAACGGGTGAAAGATTCCACAGGACACCATTGCCCACGCCCTTCCGTGGCATCCCTTCTGAGAGAGCCCTTCGTCCTTTCACCTGAACCAGGGAGAACAGGACCCGAATGTGTCTCCAAAGGAACCTGCAGCAAACAAGCAGACACCAATTCAACCTTGGCGTGCCTTCGTTCAGCCGTGTTCTGGCTTAACTAGGCAGCCCCGCTTGTCTCCCTGTCCACTGATGAGAAAGGCCATTTTAGCACTCCGTTTCTGTGGAGGCATTTTTCTGCTCTGCCGTTCCAGTCTTGCAGGCCACGGTGAGGCTGCTCGCGCTGCTGGCGTGTCCTGGTCTGTTCAGCTTGTCTTTGACAGACTTGGCTTTCCGAGAATGGCTATGTAAACTCTTTGAACGAACCGATGGAAACCCGTAAGTCCTGTCGTCGGAGTTGATGAGCAGCTGGTGGTCTCCATCCATCCTTTTTGTAACAGGTGAAGAAGGATGGGAGGCACTGAGACCCACAGCATCCCCAATGTCGCTGTCGTCTTCCGTGTCGGTCAGGAGCTGCTTCCGCTCTGCCTGCACCTCGGCCTCGGACACAATCCCAGGGTATTCGGGAGGGGGCTCGCTGGCCAGCCTCTGCTGGACCTCGTACTTCCACTCGGCAGTCCACTGCTCGATGGTCGAAGGGCACACTTGGTCCATGATGGTCCTGTATTCCTGGTCCATGAGGGCCCAGTTGTTCACGCCTCCAACCACCTTCCCTCCTTGTGCAAAGATGTAACTCCTAGACTTCATCATGGTCGCCTGGCAGGCATTGAAGGTTTCTGAGGGATAGTATCTCATGGCTCTCGGTTTGTCCAAGGGATAGGAGATGGTGGCTTCCAGTTTGGTCCTTTCCATTGCTAAATGAGCATTCTGAAACCCTGGCCTGCTTTCGGAGGGCTCGTTCGGCATGCTGTCTATCTGACGGAGGGTCTGGGACGTCTCCTCGCTCTTGCCCTGTTCCTGCGGGTCTCCCGAGCCAGTGAAGGGCCTAGAGATGTTCGTCACCACATCCAAGGTGTTTCTGCTGTGCTCTGCGGAGCCCACTGGGTTTGAACCCGAGGAAGAGCGGACGCTTCCCTGGCGTTCTGGAGAGAGCTGTGACTTCGAATCTGCTTTGCGCAGGGCCAAGGCCGGCGACATGGGGGGCACGTCGTCGTAGGGGAGCTCGTCTCCCTGGTAGCGGTACAGGCCGTAGCCGTCCGAACTGTTCACGCTGCTCTGCCTGAGGAGGTAAGCCGCCTCGCATTCGGAGGACGCCCGGGAGCGGGTGTGAGTCAGCTCGGCTTTGTCGATCCCCGCCAGTTTCTCCAGGGCATTCGCCATTCGGCCAGAGAGCTCTTCCAGCTGAGAAAGGCGAAGGTCGACTGTCTGGAGAGAGGCTTTCATGAAATGTTCTCTTTCGTTCACTTCTTCTAATCTCATCGCCATGTTTTCAACTCTGTAGAATCCAAAAGGGGAGAAGCAGATTGATCAAGGGCAACAACGCATCCTGCCCTGCCTGACCTCTCTCTCTCTCTCTCTCTCTCGCATGCCAACGAGCAGGGTAGAACATCAACAGAGAACGGAGAGGGGTTGTCTGCTCATTCTTCCACTTTCAATCATTTCAGCTGGTAGAGTATTGTTACCATATTGTTTATGAATACCCTAATTTTATTATAATGCGTTATAACAAAATGAATTATAATAATACCAAGAAGAGTAAAAGCAGTGAGCCTAAAGTAGCCTACAAAGATGGAGAAGACTCAGAAGACCTGGGTTCAAATCCCTACTGGGCCTTGGAAACTCACTGGGCGACAGCAATGGCAAAACTACTCCTTAAGCATGTCATACACTCGAGAACCTTATTAGGACCCTCATCAATCAGATGCAAACTGACAGCACATAACAACAAGAAACACGGTTCCATTTTATCTGTTACTGTTCCCAATCATCACCTGTTTGGTTCCTTACAATGTCTGGAGTTTTAGATGGTGATGGTGAGGAGACTTCTTAAGTTCCACACAGCCCTGGCCAGCCTGCGACTTTCAACTCAACTCTTGCTGCCTCCTCGCCCACCACTTTGAACAACAGAGACTCCAAGCATTGCAGGATCATTTTGCTCCTCGGAAGAGGGGCTAAGCCACAGCCAAGCAACTTCAGTCCCTTTTTTTTAAACCTTCCCTTCCCTTGATCTAAGTGTGAAGCATGAACACAGCCTCTGACACAGAGGGAAAAGGTCCCTCAGTCAACAGAGTTCCAAATTAAGGAGATGCAATGGGAGCAACTATGGAGGGCAAGGAATGAGAAGGAAGAAAAAAGTAGAAAAAAGCGATAACATGTTTAACATGTTTATTTTCCATGCTAATGATTTTAAAGAACTGTTGCAGAATTACACCAAATTATCCTCATTTCTCAGCTTCTTTGGGGTCAGAGAAAGACTGATGGGGAAGATATAACAAGAGTCAGAGTTGTGAAACTTGAGTATAGTCTGTCTAAAACCTACACATCAGCACATCTCAGGAACCCAGAGTGCTGAAAATAAAAACAATGAATGCCTAGTAATTAGAACTCTTAAAGGTGGCTTTTCCTTCCGACAAGGAAAGAGTGCTTTTCGTTTTAAAACTCTAAGTTATCTGAGGCTTCTCTCAACATCTGCGAGCCGTGTGCTGACATAATTGCTTCCCTTTTGCCCACTGCTAATGGAACAATTTCATCTGGTACCTTTCAGAAGTCACTCTGATACGTTCGTCGTTTGATGATTGTTCTTCATCCTCTTTTTCCCGAAAATATTCGTCAACGCATTGTTCCTCAAATTCGTACAATTTTTTCAGCTCTTCATCATTTAGAAAGAGCTCTGTAACAAATTGTTAAAATATATATTATTGTATTTGTATTAATACAATAGTAATACAAATAATTAAGAGAGTTTAATTAATTATATATATTTGTGTTTATTTCTTTTTTCTACATCACCTGACAAATCCCATAATTTTAAAGAAACACCTGTGGATGTGTCTGCATCTGGTGCAAAAGGTGCTAGATCAAATTTCAGACCGTTAAAATTCTGTTTTTCTCATGTCTAGACTATGTCACAAGGTGTCACAGAACCATGGAGTTGGAGGGGGGGCGTATAAGGCCCCCGAGGGGCTTAGAAGGCTCAATGCAGGAATCCAGATCAAAGCAGATCGGGCAGGTAGTTGTCTAGTTTTCCTTTGGGTGCCTCCAGTGTGGGAGCGCTCACCCCCTCTCAAAGTCATTGTTTCCATTGTTGTACTACTCTAACAGTTAGGATGTTTCCCCTGATAATCAGCTGAAATCAGCTTTTAGGGTGCTAACTGGTTGGGTCTACCAGCAGGCCCTTATAATCGCCTTGTGCCCACCCTGCCTGCCCAGCCCTTCAAATCGTGCTTTGCCCGTCCATGAGGGTCAGAGGCCGGTAGAGCACCCTTCTCATACTTAGCCCTCGGTCGCGCTCGTCTTGCTCTCCTTCTCTTTGCTTCCTGCAGCGGCAGCAGAGGCGAATGATGATGATGTAAAGGTGGCTGAAGATGATCATGGGGGGAGGAAGCACCGGCCTGTCGTGAAAGGTCATGATCAGCTGATACCGCTGGAACTTCCAGACCTGGTTGGAGATGGACTTCACTTCAAAGAAGGTGTTGCTGCAAGAGAAGAGGTTATGCCATGGTTATGCGGGGCTTTGCTGCCAGCCTGCCCTCTGAGTGGGGACGCTGCCCTGGGGTGTGAAAACGGCTCTGCCTGGGTGGGGTCCTCGTGGCCATGGCCGGGCCCAGCTCCCCACAGGAAGGACGGCTCACAGCCCCACGGAAACCCCTTCCTCTTAGGCCTTTGTGGGCTTCGGTTGAGCATAACTCAAGGGGTGCGTCCTCCTCATCCTGATGCAGGCCAACTCACACAAGGGCACAGTGGCAAAAAAGAGGGGAGCTTGCCAAGCTCTCTCGAGGACCGTACTGGCCCCAGGCAAAGATAGCTCTAGTGCGTCACTGGCCAGCTCTTTGGAGATGGGGAGAAGCCCTTCTAGCCTCCAACTATGCTTCGTGTAAACCGAGGAAGAGCACATTTCCTGATCTGTGCCCAGTTCGCTATCACTATGATATCTACTAACTGGAGTTTGGGTTTATAATAATGCTTTGAGAATTTACAAAACCTGCCAGAGATGACAGTGGATCCAAGTACCCTCCTGTGTATCCAGGGTGTGTGTGTTCGCACCGACATTTGTACACCAGTTTCTGAAGTCAACAGTGGCTTCAGCTCTTTTATCCACCCACCACCACACCCATGTGAGCACAACTGATCTTGTACATAGGCTTGTTGGTAAGTTGTTGCGATTCTTTTATCATGCTGTAGTTGCTAGGAAGGTGGCCGGATAGCTCAGAGAGTTAAAGTGCCTAGCTGCTGAGCCAGAGGTTGGGAGTTCAATCCCCCACCACATACTTTCTGGGAGAAAAGCCAGCCTGTGTGGCCTTGGGCCAGCTGCTCCGTCCCAGAGCTGCCTCCAGAAGAAGGGAACGGTCAAGCACTTCTGAACACGCTCTACCTCGAAAACCCTGGAAAAGGGTCAGCATAAATCAGAGTCCAGCTGCAGGCACATTGTTAGACTTGTTTTTATTAGTTGCTAAGTAACTTCCAGTGATTTGACACTATTTCCCTTCCTTTTATCTTCTTCCTCCTTAAAATTTCACCCTCTTCTCAGCCCTACAACTACCACGTGACTTCTTTTTAAAAGCATGCCAGCAGAACCAAGTTTCAAAACATGGAACTGAAACCAGGGACAGTGCCTGGGACTATGCTAGGCATCTGCGCTCCCAATCACCTCTCCTGTTTGGGATGCAGGCAGCAACGGACAAAGGTGCGATGGGATAGATAATAATGGCTCTTTTTATCTTCTCTTCTTTCCACCTCCTTTGTGTGCGTAAGGGCAAATCAGCAAATGAAGCACAGTCTCGGCAGGAACTAATCCAAGCGGCTGCCTCTCAACGCCCCCACTCACTCCCCACCTTCCCAGGCCTACAGTTTGCACGGAATGGTTTGCTTCCCTTCTGGTCGTGTGCTCCAAACATGTTATATTAAACGAGGAGTGGAAAGGAGTAAGAGTTGGACCTGCTGGAGTAGATCGGGAAAAAGTTTGTGAATCCTGATGGTTCAGCCACAAAGCTCTACCAAATTAGAGAAGTTGGAGAAAACCCAGGTGCTGGTTTTTGCATTTAGAAGATTTAGCAGTTTGGTTCTGATACTGATCCCAAGTATTTGGTTGGAATCAATTTTCAGAGGCACACCAGTTCTTAATTAGTGTACATTGATGCTCCTAAGCCATTGTTAACCTGCAATTAGAAGAAGGAATTCCTTATGTGCTGAAAATAACTGTTGGTCACTGCATGAGCTTTTCACGCCTCCCACAGTTTGCAAATTTGCTTTGTTTTGTTATTGATCTTCTGGACCGAAAGCAAAGTAAAAGCAAAGTGTGCCACTTATATACCACCTCATAGCACTTAAAGCACTCTCTGGATGGGTTACATTTTTTAATTATGCAGGCTACATATCGCCCACCCACTCACCCCCAGCAAGCTGGGTACTTGTTTTACTGACCTTGAAAGGATGGAAGGCTGAGTCAACCTTGAGCTCCCTACCTGAGCCCACTGGGCTCGAACTCAGGTTGGGAGCAGAGTCTTGTAGGAGCCTCGTGGCGCAGTGGTTAAACGGCTGTACTACAGGCAAAACTGTGCTCACGACCTGGGGTTCAAATCCTAGGTAGCCTTCTCAAGGTTGACTCAGCCTTCTATCCTTCTGAGGTCGGTGAAATGAGTACCCAGCTCGCTGGGGTGTGTGTGCAATGTGTAGCCTGCATAATTAACTTGTAAACCGCCCAGGCTTGTTGGTAAGTTGTTGCGGTATATAAGCAGCACACTTTTTGCTTTTTGGCTGCAGTACTGCAGTTTAAGCATTGCAGCACAAGCCTCCTCACGATAAGATTTTTCTGCAAGTCTGATTGCTCAGTCACAAATGTCTGCTGAACTGTGCCTCTGGAATACAGATGGCGCTCCACCTTCTACCGACAGACTGTGGTGTAGTGAGCAGGGTGTCAGACTAGGGCTCGGGGATATGGATTCAAATTCCTGCTTGGCCATGGAAACTCTCTGGGGATGGTAGAAAATGGCAGAATCATTCTCCGAATAGGTCACATACTTTGAAAACCCTATTCGGGAATCCAAGTCTGAAGTGCCTTTATGGGAGAAAACAGGAAAAGTAACAGGCGACCCCCTGTAGCCTGTCGCTTGGCCCTCATGACTTCTGGAAAACACCGTTGATTCTGAAAGCCCAGCATCTGTCTGTCCCTGCACGAGACTTCTTATTGAGAGGCGAAAAACGAGAGGAAAAAGCCTCTGGGGCAGGAAGGGCACTCACTTGAAGACAGCAATCAGCAGGTTGACCAGCAGGATGTTGGCTACCAAGAGGTAGCAAGCCATGATGGCGGGAGTCAGCCAGGCACCGGGGATGCAGGGAGGGAGCCGCTTGCCATCCTCATCATAAAGGTTATCCCCACAAGGAGCTGAGGAGGGATTGGGAGCAGTTTTACCATCAAAAGGGCGCACATGATGCATTGGGGGAAAGACAGACATAGAGGTGGCTCAGAGCTGTTGCGGAGTTTCAAGCCTGTGTCCAGGAGATCCGTCCTTCCTCTTGGAGAATCTGGGCTCTGATCAAACCCAACGGCTGCTCAACCACACCTTCCCTCCCTCCTCCCTCACCTGGACAATTCTAATCTAAAACACAGCCACCCCCCTTTGGGGTTTAATGGGGGCTTGTCTGCTGAGTTTGGGGTGGGGTGGGGTGCAGCCTACATGGGTTGTGGAAGGGGCCAAGGCACCCTAAGGTGACAAGTGGGTGGGGCCTCCCATGATCTGAACTTCACGACCCCAAAATTACGGAGACTCGTTTTCTTTCTTATCTGGCGTAACTCCGAAAGGGGGTCTCAGGAGCTGAAGTCAAATGCATCCTGGGGTCAACATTTTGGAGAGATTGAGCTACTGCTTCTCGTCCACTATCCTTGGGTCCGAGGCTGGGAATTTCAGGAGAACCCGGAAATGCTCTCATTTGCACTACAGCTCTCAGGAATGCAATGCTTGCTAAAGCATTTTGGAAATCGTTGTCAAAAAGTAACTTTTTCCAAGCTGGAGATTCCATGGGGCAGGGCCCAGGGGGTCACTTTGGTCTTTAAGTAAAGGGATCCCAAGGTTTGGGTAGGTGTTTGTTGCATTTCAGGGCAAAGGAGACCCCCAACTAATATGTGTGTGTGTGTGTGTGTGTGTGTGTGTGTGAATCCCACAATCCCATCCACAGAAACATTTAATTAATTTGTCAACTCCCCACAGTGAGAGACTTACGATTAATTTCCATGGCGTAGACTACACAGTGTTCCGAAAGCAGAGAATAAAGGGGAAAAACAATTAGAAGAGGGAAAGTGTGATGAGAGGGCGAAGAACAAAAGAATAATAGGAAAGGCGAGGGAAGCACACGACTGAAGCCGCGTCGGCTCTTCAGCTGCCAGAGAAAGATAAGACCCTCAAATATTAGAACAGGCAAGATACATGCTCTGAAACAATGCCCCTGTCAGGACTCCAAAGTGGCCGGCAATTTCCTTTTCTCTTTGTCTTTCCAAAATGTTCTGTATGAGAACGGGTTCGTGGCAATCAAAAGAGAATTACAAAAGGCAGCTGGCAGATGATCATGTAAATGTTCAAGCTATTTCAATTATCTAAGGATGACGTGGGTCGACTCTCACCACAAGCACGAAACACCAGACGCGCACACCACACAAGATGGGACAGCCTGGCCATTTCTGGGAACCCCCTTTTAAAACTCACTGGTGGGAAAGAAACACCGGAGTCCCAGGACTGGCCCTAAAGAGCTGGGTCTCACAGATAAGAATCAAAGGTCTCAACAAGCATCAGATTATCAGGCCGCCCACGTCCAGAACCGAGGCGGGGAGCTGGCTGCCAATGGAATATTTCTGTGGACATCACCTGTACACCAGAAATGACAGATCTAACACCCACATGCCATAAAGCCGTAAAGGAACAGATACGTGCCTTTTATTTTTAATTTTTTTTTTATTTGTCACTGTCAGGGCATCAAACCAAGGAAGAAAAAATATCTGAGAGCCTTTTCCAAAATCACCTGATTGTTCCAAAAGCCCCAGGCGCTGCAGGGCATCCAATTTTTACCCTGTTTCCCCAAGCAAGGAAGCTGCATGTTGATGATTCTGCGTACAGCCAGTCTGGCTGGGTGGTGGGGAAGGATACAGAAATGCCATGGTGCTCATCTTGTGTCCAAGTTCCACATGTCTACCGCATCTCAGAAACTCCCAATCTATGGGACATACTTCTTGTGAAGCCATAATGAAAGGACCCGAAGCAGCATGAGAGATCTTTCTCAGCTACCATAGTACGTGTAATTGAGTATTCTGAGAAAGCCTGATTCTATCCGATTGTGGCAAATGTGCTGATGGTTCACAGCGCGCTCTGTGCCTGCCTCCCCCAATTAAGCCCCATTAAGTTCAGTGGGACTTAATTCCTAGGAAAGTAAGGGCAGGAACGGAGCCTGAAGAAGCTTCTCTGCTTGAAAAAGAGGCAAAGGGTGGCTCTCCCATTAAAAAGAAGAAGGATGCTCTTTCTTTTTAGGTGCAACATAGGTTGAAACGCCTGTGTCGCAGATGGGGGAGCCATAATAGTGTTCCCCACGAGCACAAAGACAACAGGAGGAGAGGGCAGCATAACAGTGATTCCAAATTAAGGTATTTAGTGTTAATTAATTTGGGTCTGATCATCTGCCTCAGAAACAGGAACCAGAATCTTACTATGGACTCTGCTCTTACGGTCTATCTGGTCTGCGAACACCTCTCCGTAGATCATCCAGTAGGGCATGTAGAAGATGTTGCGGGCCAGCCGCCAAGACGGCTCTTCGTCAGGGTGCAGGATGGCTTGGCGGGCGACTCCGAAACTCATCAGGACCACCAGCATGATCACCACAAAATACAGCATATCGATCATCTGCACAAGGAAAGAATGCAGAGGAAATTCCAAGTTGGGTGTCATCAGAAAAGGAATAGAAAAGAAAACAGCCAGCCTCAGACTGCCAAGCGTTCCCCACTTGTGTCTCAATGATATTCTTATACTCTAGCTCAATCTAATTTCTGAGGGATTAAAACAAAACCCCATGAAACCCAGGCTATAATATTAATACACTTTTCCTTAAACTTCAGTGGATGTTTTTACAAAGGAGGATCCTTTGGCAGGATCATGACCTAAATGGTTCAAACCTGTCAAGATGTATGGCAGCAAACACCAGCTCCAATTTTTTGGCCAATTTGCTTCTGCTTTAAAGCCGGACCAGGTTTGCTCAGAGTAATCTTGAGCAGCCCAAAGAAAACCCAGCACAGACATGGGCCCTGAGTGAACCTGGCATATGTGTTCGTGTTTTCTCCTTGTCCTGTTAGTGAGATGACGGCTGTTCAGCCAGCTTCTCAGAAGCTTCTTGCTGTAGAGCAATCCATGAATCTGATACATGCTTCATTCAGGCCACTGTAATACTGGCAGAGCGTTTGCACAGAAAGCTACCTACCATCTTTCCAATCATCATGACATAAGGTCCCAGGTACTTGTTCACACCGAAGATGTCTAGTACTCGGATGTACCAGAAAATTATGTCCACGCAGTAGATCACTCTCCCGTACCCCATATAGGGCTGGTTTTGCAAGCGAAGCATGGCCCCGATCAGGAACACGGAAATGGCAACCAGGTCGGTGATGTTCCAATATTCTTGCAGCCACACTTTTATTTTCTGACTCAGTTTACCAGGCTCTGACATCAAAATCTGAAAGCAAAGCAAGGGAGGGGAAGGGACAGGAAGCGGGAGAGAAAGGCAGAAGAGGAGAAAGTGATCATGCAACCCACGGTCCCCAAATCACAGCAGAGGGAAGCCTGAGAGGCTTCTCGGCTCCTCACTTGCATCCTGAACCTGGATAGTGTTTGGGAAAGTTAGTTGTTTGGACCACCGCTCCCAGAATTCCATAGCTAGTTTGGCCATGCTTTCTGAGGCACGCAGTTCAAACCGTTGAGGCTCTTAAGCACTCATCCAGAACACCCTTCGAGGAATGAACACACAGCTGGTTCTCGGTTGGGAATCTTGTGGGTGACCCGGACCTCAATGGGACCTGCGTTGTCGGGATCAGCCACTTCCATATGACACAGACTGAGCCTTGAACAACACCAATGGATGCAGTTTGGAATAAAGTAGAACAGGGAAGCATAGCATGCTAAAGAATTTGGTCTGCCTCCTATGCCTGGCTTCTCTCTCCCATTCCAACATTCCAACAAGGGTAGAACCTTCTTGTGGGAATATTCAGGAAATGGGCGCTTCTACATTGCACCCCTTTGCCCAGCCTTGGTGCAGGTGGAAGAGTGGAAAAGGATTGGCTCTGGCTGAAGTTGCACTGACCTCTCTCACTTTCTCTAAAGCCAGAGTCACGATGTAGGAGATGACAATCCATTCTTGGGCTGAGGGCCAACGCTCCATCCGGACCAAGATTATGTAGTTGAACATCATCAAGTAGCCCAGGTAGGAGATCTGGGAAGGGCAAGAGGAAGAAGGAACTTTTTTTTTTCTGCATTTCAGGGATCAAGAAAGAGTCTTGTCGGCGGGCGCATTTGATAATCGCAATGCAAATAATGACATTTCAGAATTTTCTCTTCATGGTCTTGCAATGATGGGACTCTGGAGAGGTGGGCCATCCAGCGTTTGCTTAAACAAGTCATGGGAAGAAGCACTTGCCCCTCCCTTCCTGAGGCAGGCTCTTCCACCCCTGAATAGCTTGTAGTACCACGAGGTTTCTGGGAAAAGACAGAATCTTTCTGGAGAAGATTCTTCTAGGAGGGGAAGAGCCGTGTGTGTGTGTTTGTGGGGGGTTTGAGCCTGTCCAGGCCAATGAGGGAGGAGTGAGCCATCTCCCATCTTTATAAGATCAAGGAGGTGCCAAACTGCACACCCTCCACCTCACCCCACCCCACCCGCAATCTAGTCTGCTGAAAACGGTGGATCCCAGACTCCCCTGACGACAGTTTCCAAGTCACTCTGTGACCCCATCCACAAACAACCTGTTGCACTAGGTAATGAGATAGTGAAATCAAGTCATCATTTGCAAAAAGAACAGAAGTGATTGTTTTTTGGCTTGCTTACTGTGTAAAACCAGAACTTTACATTCGGTGCGTTATAGAATTCGTAGATCTTGGTTCCAATAGGGAGGCTCCGTTGCTTTTTGTTTCCATCTTCTTCATCTCCCTTTCGGGAACCGGTGTCGACATTTGCGTCCTGAAAGGCAGGCATTTCGGGCTGTGACTTGGGGAGAGCAGCCGCTTATTCCATGGGGGAAGAGAAAAAGAAGGAGGAGGAGGGAGTGGGGGAATAATGGCTGAACACAGACAAGGGGTCCCTGCTCCCAGTGTTTTTAGTCCAGGGGTACATTTTCAGACACCCAAAGGCACAACAGAATTCTTGATACACTGCTTCAACATCTCCTTGATCAGAGGCAAGGGAGGGAAGACAGGAATGTGTCTATCAGAGGTGGGCCTCCAGAGATGGAAAACATGGAGAACAAGGGCTTCCAGATCAGGATCAGGCTCTTCCAGGGAGCTCATGATCCTTCCTCATCCTCAGTGTACAGTTTTGTGCGGTGGCTGTGGTCGAGAACTGGCAGAAACGGATGTCCACTGAGGAGTGAGTCTCCGGACCTGCTTAGGTGCTGAGGATGCTAACAGGGTTTCCTTAGGGTGGGCGTTATTATGCCCATTAAGCTGGTCTAAGTCAAGCTAGGCTTGCTGTGCAGAGAAGGGGCTCCACAAAAAAGCTGGGGAACCCAGGAAAGGTGGAGGGAATACAAACCGCATTGTCCTCCGCATTTTCTTTGCCATCTTCGTTCTCCTTTGACGTTTGGTAGGAATAGTCGTCATGGGTGCGGAACTCCAGAAATAAGATGGTGGGCGGGAAGAGGATCCCCATTATAACCTGGAGGCAAGGAGCAAGGGAGGAGAACCCGTTCAGGGTTGAGAAACATACACAGGAGGTGCCCACAAGCATGGTCAGCCAGAGCCAGAGAAGAGAGAAGAGAGCAGGGATATGCCACTGGATCTGCCCCCTTGGTGTGTTTTGGAGAGAAGGGTGTGTTGTGAAACTGATCAGGAGGGGGGGATCCAGAGGAGGGGGCTCTTCCTTCTGCCTCCATGTGCTATTCTCCCCCAAGAGAAACACTTTTCCAAAGGTTCCCTTCACTGGGCAAAGAGCAGTGATGGCAGGCAATGAAAATGTGTTACATAGGGCAAGCAGCAAAGATGGCAATTAAAAAAAAAGAAATTAATCCCTACCTCCTGATCTTGATGTAATTCCCTTCCTTCCCAGTGATGGTAGGCAATGAAAATGTGTTACGTAGGGCAAGCAGCAAAGACGGCAATTTAAAAAAAAGAAATTAATCCCTACCTCCTGATCATGATATAATTCCCTTCCTTCCTTCCTTCCTTCCTTCCTCCCCTCCCCCCCTCCCGTCCCCTCCCCTATATATTTAAAATATATTTATCCTGCCTTTCTCCTTAAAAGGAGCCAGTCATTAGGCAATGAAAATGTGTTACGTAGGGCAAGCAGCAAAGACGGCAATTTAAAAAAAAGAAATTAATCCCTACCTCCTGATCATGATATAATTCCCTTCCTTCCTTCCTTCCTTCCTTCCTCCCCTCCCCCCCTCCCGTCCCCTCCCCTATATATTTAAAATATATTTATCCTGCCTTTCTCCTTAAAAGGAGCCAGTCATGAACCTAGAGTTCCCTACAAGGCAAGAGACTGGTTTACTAGATCTTGAGGCTTTCCTCAGTTTGCCCCCGAGGCGTTGGGAAACTGTCAACAGGCCATGAGCCATAAACATGCTTATGTTGAGCATAACAAGAACCCCTTCCTACTTTCTTTTGTGGCTTTCCTTACATTGACAGAAAATCTGCCGATGTAAACTCTGAAATCCATTCACACCTCTCGGAGACCATTGAATACCACTGGGCTGCCTGCAGCCCCCTTAGTCTGCTCCTACCAAGGCGTTCTGTAGCAGCCAGGTCTTCACTAGCCACCTCCTCAAGCAGAAAGAGGTTGGGCCTGACGGGTCAGGGGAAAGTGATACAAGCATTGGTGTCGCTTGTTCAGAGTTCTCGTTGCTGCACAACACCCGGACGGATCCTTGAGACCCCTGTCCTTTGCGCCCACCTTCAGGCCCGGGTTCTTCCGCATCCGCAGCCGGCCCATCCACATGTCGGTCAGCAACATCTGGCTGCACGTGTGCGCAATGAAGTCCCGGTGCTTTGCTGCCACGGCCAGTTTCAGGCAAGTGGAGTTGCTCCAGTTTTTCAGCTCGTAGGTCAAGAGCTTCATGGCCACCTGCTCGTCGTGCTTGTAGGACTGGTCCAGAAGTTCCACCGCCAGCTGGCCAAAGTCCCTGGAGAGACAAGAAGCAGGAAAGAATCACAAGGGAGAAGGTTCTCCCCTTCCGGTGGTCAGGGTAGTTCAGGCGCCTTCGTTGCCAGAAAAACTAACCCTGGCCTCTTTACAACATAACCGAAGCGACGTGCAGTGTGTGTACAGTGCTTTATGTTTGCTTTGGAGAAAAATAGCCTGTAATTTAAGGGTATGTATTTGCATGATTTGCTTTCTGTCCAAATACAACATGTATTCATTTATGGCATCACTGAACCGTCTTTCTACACACCTGTTCAGAAATTGATTGACATGTAAAAGGACAATTTAATTTAATTAATTAATTCAAAATCAGAGCAGGAAGTTTCTGACCTGGTGGGCTCTGTTTTTTCTGTTGCTCCTTGCTGGTAGTTTTATGATTTCATACCCAAACTTTATATTTTATGACTTTGGCCTTTGCACGACTGATCTTCCAGACAGACCGGGGGGGGGGGGGCTTTGAAGGAGTCGTGTGTGCCTGGACAGAAGCAGGCGGCTGTGGAATTGCATGGAATTAACCGTGGCAGGATCAGCAGCACCACGGGCATCAAATACGGAGGGACAGCTTCTCGTACTCATGTTGACAACACTCTACTGGTTAACTCCAGATGACTGGAGTAGCAAATCCTTTTTCAGTGGGGCACGTGCTGTTTTCCCATCCATCCTCTTCTGCTTTTTTTTTCTTGGACGGCCATGGCTTTTACTTTTCTGGCCAAGCACAACTGAGCCAAAACTAAGGAACCCATCATTCTCTCTCTCTCTCTCTCTTTCTCAGGGGATGGACAGGGAGGCCTTGGCTGTACGGCTCTATTCCAGACCAGACCCGCCTTCCCGCCCAACTGACTTGGAGTTGTTGTCCAGGTCTTGGGAGATGTCATCCACCAGCTCGCTCTCCGACGACTCGTGGGCCATCGCCTTATAGAGCTTGCAGGCCACCAGGGCCTTGGCCATGGATTCCTCCCCTCGCTGCCATAGGAAGAGGGCCATCTTTTGCCGCTTCATCAGCACCGCCCAGACCATGAGCTCATGGAAGGGGTACTGGAAGCGGCTGACCTCCGGGTCGTCCACGTCGATATCAATCTCTTCCTCCTTTTTCTTCTTCTTCTTCTTCCCTTTCGTTGGGGGTTCATCGTCCTGGGAAGGAGGAAGAAGGTAGAGTGTGAAGACTACTCTGGAGTTGTGCTGGGCTCACGTGCACACTGCAAACCATGCCAGCAGACAGAAAGAACCGTGCAGAAATGCTTACAGAAAAGGCCATGCCCAGTTGGTTAGTAGCAGATACCCAGAAAAACACAGAAATTCAAGCATGCAGAATCACTGTGTGTGTTAATGATCCCCATCATAGTGCTTGGGAGGGACAGGTAGCCTCTTTTTAAAGTGACCTCATTTAGTTTTGGCATTCCATGCAAAGATCAAGCAAGCCCATGTGAGGAAGGAGAAAAAGACACGAAGCGGGAGAATTCTTGGTCAGCTACAAGGAATGTTCACCTCTGAGTAGGAGATCTCTCATCTTACATAGGCAGGACACACGCTGGAGGAGCCATTATTACCTAAAGGGACAAGGAGGGTAGGGTATTGTGACAGGAGCCAACATGGAGGGAAAGAACTGAAGGAAGCTACAGAGAGTCTTCAAAGATCAGAAGCACTTACACTGAGGAAAAACCACCACCCTTTTTTAGGATTGGAGAGGAAGAATACAAGGTCTGCCAGGCCCATAGACAAGGCAGGAATGATGGCTCTCCCTGCATCAAGGAGAATGGTTGTCCATTGGAACAACTTCCTTCTTTGGCTTACAGCTCTTGGCATTCTGCAACCACTGTGGTCATTTCGGGGGCTGTAATCCCAAAATGTAACTCATCCAAGCTCTGGATAATGATAAGAGGGACTGGAAGTCACGGCAAACTGTCATGGAACCTCCTAGCCTCCTCTTGTGTTGTGGGTGCAAGGACCTCATCTCAGAAGAGGGGACAGACCTCTGACCCTCTCTTGCTAGCGCATGGCCTGCTTGCAGTTGGCACACCTCTAGATCCAGGCCACTGCTGGCCACTTCAGGCTCTTTGAAAAAGCCGCCTCCTGCCTTGGGAGAGCTGAACAGTTAGCTCTGTAGTCGTCATAAAAGGAAGACAAAGAGATTCCAAAGAAGATTAAGCATGGTTGAAGCTTCCTTCGGACATTGCAAAGCTGCTTACCGGCTTCCAGCAACAGGATTGGTTGGTACTTATATGTTTTAGATGTGATTTTAATGTTGATATAATAACAACATGTTTATGTCCATTTAGAATAAAAGCTTATATATTTTCTGGGCATAATATTTGCCTTTATTCCAATAGCTCAGAGGACACTCAACAAGCATGGATTGGGATTCGACTTCCAAGAAAATGTCATCTTTATCTAAGAGGGCAAAAATGGAATGAGGTTCCGGGGATACACACAGTTGGCCCAACATACAGTGCTCACCGAGACCCTCTGTGGGTGCAGAGCGCATGGGGAACAGCTGTTCAGCGCAGGCCACAACAGCCACAACCAGGGGGAGGAGGAGGAGGAGGACATAGCCACTAAAAAGCAAATCTTTTGATTAATCTCCTGGGTGTGCTGTTGAAGAAGACCAAGGCCCTTGTGGGACCCTCTGCCTCTGCTGTTTAAATATCTTGGAGGGGTGGGGTGGGGGACTTGGGGACGATCCATATTTTCTGGCAAGGGGCTAACGTTTGTGGTTCTGCCCCAGACAATGGTAGTCATTCTGGATCACTGAGTAACAAATTCTACTAAATTCCGTTTCTCCCCGGTCATCATCTAACCTGTATGCTCTTCAACACTCCTGCTTTCATATCTGACGGTAGAATTTCTTAACAGTCAAGATGAACGTACACACAACAGGGGTTTATGGCAGAATCCCTTATAATTCTTCCATGATCATTTCTATAAATGTAGCCTACACTATGTCTTAATGATACAGTACAATACCTTTAGATTTCCAGAGGGGCATCCCAGGACGGCTTGTATATCCAAATAGGAAAGCCAGATTAAATGTATAAGAATTCAGAGGGATATTTTGATCATCACTCACACTGACCTCCTCCCATTATTTTGAATGAATCGTGCAAAGAGGGAGGCACACACCTCTGAAAACGTCTCCTTGAATTAGGGAAGAAAGGTGAAGAAGGGTGAAGACTTCTACATATGTGAAAACAGGAACAGCAAAAACTTACCTCCATCCCTAGAAGCTTAAGAGCTTTAGGCTGCATGTTTTGGAAAAGAAAAGAAAATACAATTTGTGAGGAAATATTGCTGATGTTTATCCATTAGTACGATGCTATTAAACTGAAAATATCTACTTGTCTTTCCAACAAAGGGCACTTCTTGTGTAAGTTTTGGTGGATCAATGAAATCTCGGTCTGCATCCCACCAGCACCCCATCCCATCTTCTTCTTGAAACTACAGGTTTGTTATTTTCTCTTTACTGTGCAACTGAATCCGTGCCTTCCTCCCCCCCCCAAAAAAAGTCTCATCTAGCATCCTGGAAAAATGCTTAAGAAGGGATCAAGCCAAACTCAACATTTCCCACGCATGCAGAGATCAAATGGATGGCGGGTGGTTGGATGGGAGAGAATAGAGCTAATTTTTTTTTGTGAAGAGTTTACGGCAAGAATAAGAATAGAACGCAACCAATTCTTACCCTCTTTGGTCCAAATAAATTGTTGTACAACGTCCGAAAGCTCTTCCGTGTATAGTTGCAGCGATAGGCCCCTCCCATGAGATATTCTAGCACCAGGCCAATGTCGATGAGGCTGATGTGGTAATCAGGGGGCAAATTTCCCTAGAAAACCCCATCAGAAGTATCATTATTTTGAGGAAACCTATAACTAGGAGGTCACATGATCTTTGCTGGCTTTGATCTCCACCCAATAACTATTTAGTTATTACCGATTAAGGCTGCAGCCTATACACCCTTATATGTCAGACAGTCCCATTGAACTCAATGGGATTGCCTTCTGAGCAGATACATATAGCCTTCCGACTGAGTTGGAGGGCCTTACTTTTGAGTAAATAGTAGAACTGAGTAAATTGAGTCCATTTTGATCCAATGGAGAGCTTTGGAAACATTACTGATTGGGATCAGAGCCGTCAGAATTGTCCCAGCCAGGCTGAGCATTTGCCATCCTGGCTGAAGGAATTCTGGGACTTATGGTTAAAGATCTTGTGGTCCTCACCGAGGGGTGTGTGTGTCTGCTTCTCCCTGGGTGGCAGTTTGCCATCAGACTGTGGAAGAGCAATACAGGAATATATGTGGTCACAAGTATGAGATGGATGAAATGCTGCCTTCTAGATATTGTGAGACTGAAAGTCCTATAACTGGCTGGCTGGCTGGCTGGTTGGTTGGTTGGATGGTTGGTTGGTTGGTTCATTGGTTGACTAGTTAGTTGGCTGGTTGGTTGACTGGTTAGTTGACTGATTGATTCAAATCAATTTATCATTGCCCAGTACGAGGGCCCCCAAAGCAATGCACAACCGAATCAAACCACTTTATTTAAAAAGATTAAAAAATTGAAAACCAATCTTAAAAGTTAGCTTTTTTTTAAAAAAAAAAAGGCCCCCAGCCACTGATGGTGCCAGGTAGTTTTGATGCTATTATAATGTAGAAGGCTACACATTGTCAATCCATGATATGAATGCACCACCGTAAACTTCCATAGTAAAAGGTCATCCTTTATTTATCCCATACAGGGCAAATGAAGAGAAAACCAACTGTGGGATGCATGAAGTGATCTGATTCTTTCCACCCACTTGCAGTTTTTAATTCAAAGAATCTTGCAGGGGTTGGGGTTGGTGGGAGAGTGAGGAAAGAGTCATGAATGTTTGTGACTGGAATCTTTACTCACAACAGAGGAATGTCATTCTTGCCTGCGGAGGATTTCCTCCTCCCTTGAGCCAAGGACTTTTCTATTATCTCCACCCAACAGCATATTTTATAGCATTAAAAATGGCTGTATTCTGAATGGGGTTTACAACCCCCGATAATCTCATCATTTGTCTGTTTGGACCTTTTATCCATTCACGAATTCCATTTACTTTAAAGATGGTTTAAAGCACTTTGTATAATGTAGGGTGGGGGTTCTTTCTCCATGTGTATTATTATATTTGTTTGAGACTTCTGAATAGAAGATATAATATATATATATATTAACCACTGGGAGTGCAGTCAGCCAGGAAACTCTTACACAAGCCCATATAAAATGGTCAGAAGCTAGGCATGAGCATTGCCTGCCCTTGTGTCTTTTCTACTGGGTACACTGGCCAGTGGGGGTGGGTGGGGATTAACTGTGTGTGATGCAACTACGGGGACTTAGAGGACCTTCTCCTCATCATCTCAACACCTTTACGGCTCGCTCGTTTACCTTCTAGCGGAGCCTGCTGTCATTTTATGGAGATAAATATTGCCTTGTGCCTCTGTGAACAACAGGTAAACCAACAGGATAACGCTGGGTCAGAATTCAATCCGCTCCCGTGACTTAGTGATAACAGGCAAGGTGTGAGAACCAGGAATGGGAGTTATTAGTAAGCAACACACTTTGATTTAGAAAAGGGTATCATTCCTGTTATCAGTTTTGGGGAGAGATGCCCCCAACTTCCATTTTTTTCAGGGAGACTCTGAGGAAGCAATGCTCCACACTAGCCGCCTGCTGCCATTTAGCAAAGCCATGTTAACTACAATCCACAGCATTTCAAAGCCAAAACAAGCATCTGATTAATCTGCAGCCCAGATTTGGTAACTGTGTTGGTTGTATAACCTCTACTGTCATATTGCTAAAGACTGGACAGTTTTATTAAAATCCTGGCACACATCCCGGAACTCTGATCTAAAGACAATGCCTCCCTGTTGGATCTGGGTGCCGAGATGGAAGCCTAGTCTATGAAAAGCAAGACAAAAACTAACTAAAAAGAAAATGCAGCATTCAAAGCAAGCCATTCACCTCCATGTTCACCCATCCAAATCCCCCCGATTGCCGCTGAATGACGATGAGCCCAGGGAATGCGGGAGTGGCACAGGGTGGACCGAGAGAGACAGAGATGGAGAGAGGAAGATGGGAGAAACGTATAACAGCATGTTAATGACAGTGGAAAATGCTGGTGGTGAAACATGAGGTATGAACTCACAACATGCACATATATCACCCTATAAGCAGATCTCCTGTGGCCCAGATACCTAAGAATGCAAGGTCCCCTTTCAAAACTGGTTCCCCTTTCTCTGGTCACTGTCAGGCTACAGGATCAGACCAGCTTTCAAAACTGGTTCCCCTTTCTCCGGTCACTGTCAGGCTACAGGATCAGACCAGGGGGCAGCATAGTCTAGCTTTTTCTTTCCTGTGTTCGCCAGTTTGATACCACTGGACCCACCCAAGCAGGGCATGAAGGTAACCCTCTTGTCCTTCCCCCCCTTATATGAGTACATGCAGTTCTGCTCAACCTCGGCAGACCTCCAGTTCTTCATAAATATGACAAACCAATGGTGGTGGGTATCCCCACCTCTGGCTAGTTAATGATCTGTTTGTTGTTTGCTTGCCAGTCAAGTTCCCTAGTTCTAGTACTGTGGGAAGAAAGGGGAAGGGAGAAAACCACGTACGTTTACTCACTCTCTAAGGGTCAAACTGTATATAATAGCCCATCATTAGCGCTGAAAACATGTTAGCATTCAAGAGATATGGCACAGGCAGTTTTTCAGAGCTGAGAATCAGACTCAGGAAGAGCATGGCTATGGTGGGAAGACCCATTGTGAAAGAAAGGAAGGTAATTTAATAATTACATGAGATATGAAGAGTCCCTGCTGCAATAATCACACACAATCATGGCTTGAGGAATTCTCTCTTCTAGTGAAAGATTGTCTATAACGTATAGGTCAGCTTCGAGTTGACGAGAGCAGTTGCAATGTTTTGTTTCATACAATGTCACAAACATTTATTGTGCTGTTTGTCATCTTTTAACTAAAGCTACAAAGCCCCCAGTGATTTACCATTTCGTTGAAGAGAATATACCACAACCCCTTGATATGTTCAATTGCCTTCCTCTGCACCACGCCCAGACCTCAGAACCATATCTTAGAATTCAGTGGAGTTTAAAAACTCTCTTCTTTCCAGGGGAAAACGTGTGTACAGTATTGATTGTGCTGTTTGCCATCTTTTAACTAAAGCTACAAAGCCCCCAGTGATTTACCATTTCGTTGAAGAGAATATACCACAACCCCTTGATATGTTCAATTGCCTTCCTCTGCACCACGCCCAGACCTCAGAACCATATCTTAGAATTCAGTGGAGTTTAAAAACTCTCTTCTTTCCAGGGGAAAACGTGTGTACAGTATGTTGGAGCACCAGCTTCCTTTATGGGTTGATTGTATTTTTAGTAAACAAGCAATGCACTTAGCTAAAATTCTGCAGTGATAATTACAAAAGCAACTAAGTATTGCAATTATGTTCTCTGCCGGTAGGTGGAGTGAAAAACCCACGCAGGCGTCTCGGACAAGGAAGGACGTCAAATGAACCCACAGAAATATTTACCTTTTTGACATCCCTGACAAGCAGATGGAGGGTGTTTGGTGGGCCCAATCTCTGAAAAAAGACAAGAGTCAGACTTGGTCAGGAGAAATGAAAACAAAAAGAGCTTAGAAATGCTACTCTCTTTTTTGTCTCAAGCCCTCAGAATACCAACAGAACCATCTTAATATGCTAAAAAATCTAAACTCTGCCTATGAGGATGAGTCGTTCAACGTTCGCCCCCTTACCCTTTCCCTTCCTTGCCCCTTTGTGCCTTTCCTAAAGCTCCCACCCTATTTGCTCCTCTCTAGGGTTTGAACCATTAGGTCTGTGAAGCCACAGGTTCAAGGTGGTTTTGCCACTGGCCGTGGGCCGATCTTAGGATCTGAGAAGCGCCACGGATGGCAAGCCACTGCCCTTTGGATGGCTCAGTCCCTCCGTGAGAGGACAAATTCCCTGTCAGCGGTTTCATCCACCTCTCTTCACGGGCCACAACACGACCCGGCGTTAAGGCCACCTCCGCCACCCTTCGGCTCTGGCTGCGTTCCAACGGAGGGTCACTCACGGTGTTGTAAAGCTCTTCCAGCCGCGGGATGGTGAGGAAGCGCTGCATGCTGACTCCGTTTTCGATCAGGAGCTTGACGAAATCCACCCGGTCGAGCACCAGGGCGTCCAGCATGGCTTGCTCCAGGGAATTCACCTGAGGTCAGCGAAAGAAAAGGGACAAAGACGCTGAATGGAAAAAGGCCGACTCTAAGTGCAGACGCTGTGGAAGAGAGTCTGTGGGAAGACTTGCTCGGTCAAATGCTGCTGCTTGTTGGGGGGGGGTGTTTGTGAATCAGAAGTAGACCCTCCGTGGTCCAGTCAATGACAGGCGGTGTTTCTTTTAGCCTAAGGTCTAACTCCCATGTGCTGGCCCTGAGAGAAGCGACATCCGGATGAAATCGAGTTGGAGGAAAGGAGCAATGAAATGAGAGCAGACATTCGGGGACAATGCCGCTCTTAGCCTCACCCAGTTCAGCAGCTCAAGTTTCCTCGGATCCGTTTCCTCTTCGGGTTCTTCTTTCTGCTTTCCCCCTTTCTTCTTCCCTTTCCCTTTCCCTCTGGCTCCTTTTGTCTGAGGCACCGGGGACTTCTTCTCCTTTTCTGGGCCGGCCCCGTCGGCAGCTGCCAGGCTCCCCAAGGGCTGTAGGGAAGAGCAAACAAAAAGGGTAGCTTGAGGAACACAGCCCGGCTGTCTCCCAAGATGCCCCGTCTTGCGCTGGAGACCAAGGGTGCGTAAGCAGGGCAAAGAGACACATCCAGGAGGCAAAAGCCTAGCAATCCTGCTCAAAGGCAATCCCTTTTAATTTTCTTATTTAATAAGAAAGGAGTCATCAGGATACAAATACAAGTATAGCAAAGATTTGTAACTGGGGAGGAGGATGACTCACATTTTTAAATGTTTAAAAAACTATTTCTTCTATGGTAACATTTGTTTTTTAGATAGAAATGTTGTCATGAGTGCTCATCAGGGTATGGAAATCTTACTTTTTTGGACCACAGATTCTAGACTTCATCAGTCTCCAGGAATTCTGGAAACCAGAGATATTAAATGTAAAATTTCCAAGCTCTGGGGCTAAGGTATTCCTGTTGCCCAGAATCTTCTGGCGGGCCACTGGGTGGAAAGGAGGGTGGTCGATAGAGGCCTGCGGATCAATCAAGGGTGGTTCTCACCGAATTAAACTGATTTGCCTGATCTTATTTAGATAAGCTGCTGTGAAGAAATTATGGCTCAGTCTACCGGTCAGAGGAACGCAGGCTCCCATGAAAACTAAGATAAATGGTGACTGCATTTTTTTTTTAAAAAAAAGACCAGATAATCTCTCTGAGCGAAATGTTTACCGGCCAGTGGTGTCCAAAGACAAATATCTGGCTGCGTGCGATATCCACTCGGTTCCAGGCTAAGGCCAGGCTCAGCTGATCTGGCGCAGAAGCGTTGGTACCTAAGGAGACAAAGACAGAGTTACTTCTCCGTCCACAAAACACCTGATTACGGCCTCCTTCTGATTAAATAAACAGAGACAAAACACAACAAATAAGAACTCTAGTTCTATTCCTTATAATGAAAGGATCCCAAGAATTTTCCAACTGTTTTTAAGCTTCCAATGATGGACTGTCTGTCACTTCAGCTTGGCCTCCATTCCTCAGCCATTTCCTTCTGGAGGCTGACTCTAGGTGCACACCTTATGGACACAGCATTAAGCCATTTTTTTTTACTTTTTCGTTTGTCTGTTTGTCTTCCATTTTGGCTGGGGGTAACATGGTGACGTGGTGGCGCTGTGGGCTAAACCACAGAAGCCTGTGCTGCAGGTTCAGAAGACCAAGCAGTCAGAAGATCGAATCCACGCGATGGAGTGAGCGCTCGTCGCTTGTCCCAGCTCCCGCCAACCTAGCGGTTTGAAAGCATGCAAATGCGAGTAGATCAATAGGGACCACCTCGGTGGGAAGGTAACAGTGTTCCATGTCTAAGTCGCACTGGCCATGTGACCACAGAAGATTGTCTTTGGACAAAACGCTGGCTCTATGGCTTGGAAACGGGGATGAGCACCGCCCCCTAGAGTCAGAACACCACTGGACAAAAATTTCAAGGGGAACCTTTACCTTTTACCTTAACATCCAGCCCAAAAAAGAGTTCTGAAGATCCTCCCCAAAGCTTGCCCATTATTTCACACCATTTGTGTGGGTCCTAATTAAAAAAATATTGAATATTTGCATACCCCAATCAGGTACATCAAATGCCTGGAAGGAAATCAGTTTGCATGACTGCTCACACATGGTGTTATATCCAGGAGTGAGACAGTACTTAATGTACGAAAGGTGGGAACAGCTGAGTGGCCAAGCTGAAGAGGAGGTTAAAACCAAGGCAGAATCCCTCTCCTCTTCCTTATTCTTAATCACGTTGCATGTCAAAAAAAAATCATCTCCCAGCACCTTTTAAAGATTGCTGCTCTGTCGCATTACATTTTGGAAATGGCCATCTGTTGAATTAATTTGATGAAATATTGGGGAAACTGTATTTTCTAGCACAGGCAATCCCAGGGGGAAATGAAAAGCTCAGGAAAGACACAAAAGTATAAAACTGGGTGTAGGCACCACAGGTGGGATTCTCTCTGTTCTAAGTGGACCCTATTAAAACGCTTTACACTTGGTCCACCATTATTAATCTACAGGATCATGGGCCAGTTAGGTGGCGAAACTGATATGCAAATAGGGACAGAACAGCATCTTTCAGGTTTCTGCAACCTTGCTCAGGTAACTCACCTTTAAGGAGAGCTGTCAAGATGGACATCTCAATGTCTTGTTGCCCCTCAGATCCCATGCGGAAGACAGTGATCTAAAGGATCGGCCAATCAAGGAAAAGAAAAAAACAGAAGTAACTGCTGCCTGCTGAAGAAATTCTGTTCAGATTTAGAGCTCATGTAATCTTTTAATAGCAGGGCAAAAATAAAGGGTCCCATCTTTTTGTTGAGAATAATTTAGAAGAATTTAAAAAGGGAGAATCAAAGGAAAAGGGAATAAAATAAAAACTGAAAGGCAAGGGATTCTCCTATTCAGCAAGGGAAGCCTAAACACCTGATTTAACTCAAAGCATGGAAAAAGTACCTTTTGGATTCTATGCCCCAGAATCTTCCAACCTGAATGGACACTTAAGAAATAGAAGCTGTCTCTGGGAAGTGTATAGCAGTGATGTTCACAAATATATATAAAACACAGCTTCTGCAAAGCCAACTTCAAAAGCCAAATTTTGGTCACCGTCTGGCAAAGATGGTCCCTGAGAATCTTCCCTGGAGAAGGTGTCTGAGAAGTGACTGCCCAGAAAACTTCAAGCAGTGATGGAACACAAAAGAAGCCACCCCAAATTGAGTGAACCTCCCTTCCCACAACACAGCTGCGCTATATGGCGGGATCTCTGGTCAGAGCAAATCAAGGTATTAGCTGCTCTAACTCACGGGAATGGATTTGGGACTTTTGCTTCCTATGTGCACTGTGACTTTATTCCCTGAATTGATAAGATCCTGTATTCGAGCAGTGGCTTGGAGGATCAGGTCCTGGCCCTTCTTGCCAGGAGGCATAGCAAGCTGTGCACGGCACAAGGAAACCAGTTGGATTTGGCAAAGAGAGAAAAGCAAACAAGATACCGTGATGCTCTGCTTGCGACCATTCATCTCCAAACAGGAACACTGGGATTAACATTTAATCTGATCAAATTGGTCTCCTAACTCCCCACTTTAAAAAAAAAAGAAAGAAAAAAGCCCATTTAATTGCTATTGCTGTAAAATATGCAAGCTCTAATTTGCTTACTTGATTTCCTTTCCACAGGAAGGATAAAAAAATTATTTGTTGATGGAGGCTTTTAAAAAGGACAAGCAGATTATATAATCGGAAGGGATTCCCTCTGTAGAACCAGATGGAAGCGCCACATGACGGGCCATGTAAAGGGGTGGTTCCCTATTCAGATTTCAGGAGATGCTGATTAAGTGCAGAAAGGCAGCCCTGAACTTAGTTCAGTTAACAGGGGAGAGGAGTTGCTCTCTGTCCTTAGACTTAACACCGTCAGTTCAACGTGAATGCAAAGCAAGGGGATCTAGCATGTGCTTACATCCAAACAGCAGAAGGTGGGGAACATTTTGAATGCAAGAGGCCACCTTTGCCCATGGAGAAGCTCCCGCGGGCTGTATTCCTGTGAGGGGGAGGGCATGAGACAACAGCCGCTGGGGCCAGAAGCCTGTGGGGACATGCGCAGGCATCTACACACTACAAAAGTTGTTGTTAGGGAGACTGGCCGTGGGCAAGAAGAAGAAGCAGGGCATGGATGGTCAACCTGTGGCAGTGATTTCTGAGAGCAAGAAATGATGGCCTGGACCAGGGGATCTCAACCTTGGGTCTCCAGGTGTTGTTCTTGGGCTGCAGTTCCCAGAAGCCTTCACCACCAGCTGTGCTAGCTGGGGATTCTGGGAGTTGCTGTCCGGGAACAGCTGGGTTACCCAAAGCTGGATACCCCTTGGGCTAGGCAGTTAGTCTTTCCCACTCTCAGAAACCACCCACCCATTCCCCTGCTTCTGGGTGCCCACTGTCCGTCTCCACAAGAACCACTGGGAACCACTGGCCCAGATGGTCTGCTGTTTACTGAAAGTATAGTCACAACAACTGACCTGAGGTAAGAAAAATATGAACAGAAAAGCCGAGTACCTCTCTCCTGGCTATCAGTAGGTCTACGCCCATTGAGCTACAATTCCCAGAGCTCGCTGGCAGAGATGAATGACAATTGTTTTAAGTCTCCAGCTTGGCATGCTCCGTTGCTCGTGAATCATGAGAATGCTTTTTTTTAAAAAAATCATAGTCTACTCTAAGTGATCAGTGCTTAACATAATGTACAACTGGGCCGTGACATTCGTTCGTTCGTTCGTTTGTTCGTTCGGTCATTCATTCATTTGTTCATTCAAATAGCAGATAAGAGCCTTACAAGTTCTTTCTTCTTCATACATTCCATGAGGATAACAAACAACTGATGGGCTTGGTTCCGACTGTAGCTGAAGGTCTTCTGAATGGTGACAAGGAGCTGGTCCCTGAGAGACTCGCTTATGATCCTAGAATTAACATGGATAAAACAGAAAAAAAAATACATATTTATAGACAGGCAGGCAGTCATGCATGCTTATGTGTATATACAAACACATACAAATACACAAACAGACTTATTGTAGCATGATCCTATGCCTGTTGAGATGCAAGTACTACAGGATTTTATGGGGCTTTCTTTCAGGCCAGCAAGCCTAGCATTGCAGCTTTATGTAATTTGTTCAGCATTTTTGAGAGGATCTTTGTTTGCAATCCAAGGGAAAGAACAAACAGGA